GGGGGGGGGGGGGAGAGAGAAAGACGTAGTCCTCTGTTCAACGAGAAAAAGAGAGAAGGGGAAAGCTTCCCCCTCGCTGCCGCATCGGAGCAACTTCCGCAATTTAACGCGAAACAACGTTCCGAACTTCTTTCAGTGGATGAAAACTTGAGCGACGACCTTCGGCTTCACGAAAAATATTTTCCTCCCCGTTGTGAAGGAAGTTGCGCAACGGCATATTTTCAATGAGTCGGCGGCGGGGTAAACCGCGCGTCCGCGCACTTGACCAAGTTCGCGTGAAGATATCGCAGGGAGACGATGAGCGAGGGATGAACACGTAGCGTGTGCACGCAACTTGATCGTAGACTATTTATTGAAAAATAGAGTAAGAGTTCTTGAGTGTGATGCGACTTACGTCGGAATAACGTCCGCAACGCGGTGGCTTTAACGTCGGCCGCTACCGATACACACGCAAATATCGACCGGTGAGAGTCGGCGCCGTCGTTGGTTACAGCGCGTGAAGCACAGAGACGTACGAGGCTGACGATTTAATGATCTGTCGAGAGACAACGTTGCTGCAGCGCGTAAGAAATGAATACCGCTGTTATTACACGTTAAGATAATTATAAGGTATTATCTACGCGCGCATACACACATCTTGCATTCACACATGCACACACACACACATACACGCATGCATACGCGCGAGTGCGAACGCGATTGTGCGGCGAAGTTTGGCGGGCAATCTTGTAGAAGCTAACGGATGAAGCTTACGTTCGCGAATTGCTGCAGAGAGAGATTCGTGAATCTGCCGACCGTGATTGTCAATTGCTTCTGTGACCTCATTATCAAGAGCAGCAGGATTCGGGTCTCGCTGGGAGTCAGATCGTACCACAGGGACTCGTATGCCGCGTCGCCGATCATTTTGCTCTGGAAAACAGGGAGAGATGGCATTTCGCGACGCGTGAAATCGGACGAAAAATTGGGGACCGACCCGAAATTCGTACCTCGCGAAATCGTGCCTACCTTGATACTGAGATATTCGCCGGCGAAGCAAAAGATAAACGCCTCCAAATTGATGACGACGTAAAATAAAAGGGACTTCACTAGCATAGAAAAATCCTGGCCTTCGCCAATCGACTGCAACATTAAAATTATATTAATGCGCACCGTTTATTCTCTTTTTGTCTTTTTTTTAATTACACTTTGTATTACATTGAGAAAAAAAACAATTAATCTCATTAAAATTTATCATTTTTGGCGTCAATCATATTTTTTCGTTGTTTTAACCAAAAGGTGGTAGTCGCAGCACATGTACAAGATGATCACTACTATAGTATCAGTACTGCGCAGTACTGTATAGTACTATTATAATATAACATCACAAAAATAATTTTCCTGACTATAATTATTTTTATATGCTATAATTCGTCGATTATAATTATTTCCTATACAATTACAAGTCACAAGTACGAAACATATTTTCTACTCCAGGTACTGAAATCACAAGTTAGGTGGAATATAATACGAAAAATGCGTGTAAATTGCGAGATGATAACGGCGCTTGTATGTTTGATCGCAAAACGGTTTGCCCACTCATTATCGATGGAAGTTGCAGCACTCCAAGAGTTGCCACAATTAAGAATCAGTGCGCATACGCAATGGCTGATTATAACAATAGCGAAAGTTACAGTACAGAGTGTGACAATATAAAAATTTGAAGAAAAGAGTTTATATATTTTAAAGTAAAAAAGCATTATTTTGAAAGCAATTTTTATACATTGTATAACGTAAGATAACGTAAGATAACGTGACAGTCGAATGCACGTCAGCAGTGACTCTCAATTGTGACAACTTGAAGCGCTGCAACATTTATTCGATAAAAAATGTGCAAACCGTTTCACGAGTACACGTGTGACAAATCTCGATTGGCATGCGCGCATATATTCGATGTATACATGAGCCATCAGCTTGCGAATTGGAAATTCGATTGGCAATTTGCATCCATTTTGACATGCGAGAGTGACTTACGTTCACGATGATGAATCCTAAGCAGCAGATGACGAGGGTGTTCGATACAAATTGCGCCAGTGCGATGTACGAGTACAGGTTCTCGATTTTCTCGGTGAAAACGATGATGTTCTGGTGCTTACGGATCAACGAGCTCATTGTGATCACAGATATAGTCGACTTCCTGTCCCTCGGCAGAATTTCTAGCAGTCTCTCACGCAGGATGTCTATCTGACCGCCTACGTGCAGCACCTAGGAATTTGGGGCCCGTTATCCGCTCTCGCATGTGACAGCTTAAGGGTGAACGTCGACGGCGCGTGCGAAAACATCCTCTTACCGGCTCTTACCGAACCGGAATCTCATCGATGAGTCTTGAGCAAGTCCGAAATCTCTCACGGAATACAAAAACATATTATTTTGGCAATAGAAAACACAATAACCAGACGCAACCAATCATTTCATGATAGAGAACGTACCAATCATATTTAACAAAATGAGAAAAAAGGATTAATTTTATTAAAATAAATCATTTCAGACATTAATCATAATTTTCTTTGTTTTAACAAGAAAGAAATATGCGTGTAAAGTTGTCATTACTATAATTGTCATCATTATAGTTGTCATTATCATAGTCATATATATATATATATATATATATAGTCATAATTATAGTCATGAGTACCAAATACTTTTAAGTATAATTTCATGATGGAAAACGCAACAGTCAAATGCAACAAATACATTTCCTTTGAGTAAAAAAAAGTGGTTAATTTTATTAAAATTATAGTCATTTCAGATATTAATCATATTTTTTTTGTTTTAACAAGAAAGAATGGTAATATGTATATAAAACTATCATCATTAACACTACAGTAGCACTTGCTAGAAAAGTGATTATCTTGACGATAATTATTTCACTGTGTAATTACAGTCACGAGAGTACCAAACAATTTTAAACATAATTTCACGATAGAAAACAGTCGGATGCACATCGCGATAATGTGAAAATCAATGGAGCCAGATAAATCGGATATGACGCGATATGACAGTGCAAAACGACGCGTCGAAATTGTCGATAAATAATCCCGTGGAGTCGCCGCGGACTCGGAATCAATCTTCCGGGAATAAATTTTTTCCCTACTTCCTCTCCCCTCAAATAAGCCGGAACGCGTCATCGACGATCACGGTGAATCGGGGGAACGTCCCCCCTCCGTCACTAGGGATCCCGTTCCCAGAGATAATCTCAGTCGGGTGCTCGAAATCCCTCGGAGAGTGGACAAGGAGAAGGTTCCCGCAGAGAAGGTGCCGACTCACCAGCGTAACGAGCAGCGCGCTGAGCACGCCGATCACGGTGGCGGATGTCATTTGATGCAGGAACTGCGTGGTCATTACAAGCTCGTAAATCGGCGACGCGTCGCTCTCGAAGGGTAGGTCCATCTTGAGGAAGAGCTCGCGCTCGACATCACCCTGATCGGCGTCGCTGCTGTGCAGCGCGATCACGCCGATACAGTAGAACAGCACGGCCGTCGAGTGCAGGCCGATGATCAAATTCGAAAAACGATGAGACAGGCTGGCCACGTCGATCATATTGCATAGGGCGCCGCCGGCCATTCTACATTCCTCCCAATCCATCGAAACACTCGCTATCACGTCGTGGAATATTCTAGAGAGAATCGATATCGTGCTTGCATTGCGCGAAGGGCGAAAGCGCTCCCCTCATTCGAAGGCTATGATTAGGGAATTACTTGTCTGTACGTGACGACGAATGGCGGAGAATGTGAGTCAGAAGGGTGAGAACAGAAATATCGATATTGTCGGCGTTGATGGCGATATATTTCTTCGTGATTATAATAAGAAAATATGGATATGTTGACTATCTACGATTATAATAAGAAAAGATGGATATGTTGACTATCTATCGAATCACTTATCACTTATAGTGATTCCTATAGTAAAAAAAAATGCTAAAATTGTTATCAATATGATGCCTCATACACAGAGAAAAATATTGTACTACTACTGAGAGAATCGATTATTCAGTTTACTGTCCTTTTCTTTTAAGCGATGACTGTCTTCAGTAAGGAATATATTTTTCGTAGTTGTTTTGAAACATACTCATTACAAATTTGACAAAAAGTCATTTAATCGTGTCTCTTGAAAGAAGAATTTATTATTTTAAAAACATATCGTAAAACTTTGTCAAGGAAAAAGTTGGTTCGATTCTGCATAAGTAAGCAAACTAAATTTTTGTTTTAATTTAACATTCTTGGTCGCAAATTTTAAACTTACCGGGATTTAGATGTATTTTGAATAAGTTTGACACTTATAGTGAATACGACGATAAACTTATGAAATATTCGAAACATTTACTTGTATGCAGTATGTATTATATTTTTCCATGTATAGATGCTCAGACATTGATTTCTTATCGATAGATAGTCATGCATTTGATGAAATTCCGATGTCTCTAATGACAATTACGAGCAAGTAGCTTCGTGTTACCAAATACTCATTCGACTCGTATGACTGGTTGGAATGCGGAGGGTAAGCTCCGAGTGGTAACGACGTACCGTTGTTTTGTCCAGAAAACAATCAACTTGACACACAACAAACTGTACGACAGCGTCGCGCTCAGGCCATCCATTAGCAGTGACAAATCCTCTGAACGTAAATGCGACAGCATGTGGCGGTACTGAAAGGTCTGCGCGGCCAGCATCGACGTGGTCCACAGAATTCGACTGATGTTCGCGTAAGGCGCGTCTGGCCAAACACCAATTACCTGAAGCCCGATCTCGATCGGGCGGGTGAACGTGCTCGCGACCATCGTCGGCTGGACTTCCTACCGATTGTGCGAACACTTCGCGTCGTAGACGTGGAGCTGAGACGCGGATAAATAAGAATGAGACACTTTGGGCATTTTTGAGAATTGGTATTAGATGGACATGCATTGTCTCGAAAAATCAAAATCTCGAAACTCGGAGAGTGAGACAGTTTCCTGAGAAGTAACCCCGAAATCCGAATACACCAAGCATTTTTATAAAAAAAAAAAAAAAGAAAACAAACAGTTTCCTTGAAACAATGACAATTCTATCTTATTTTATTTACAACGATTTTCTGGTGTTGCACTGATTTCAATATTGTAACTGGCATTGCAACTGCATACTGCCAACATTCCGGGAGATAGTCTTGGTATTCGCGATTTCGGCGTTACAGTTGCTCTCGGGAAATTGTCCCACTTTGCGGATTTCGGTACGTTTCCGTTTTGTGTTCCGGAACGATGCAATGTCCAGCAGTGGAACACTCGCTCGCACGCGAACATCGATATTATCGAGACACACACTCTTGGTCTACCGAGAGAATCTAACATTCTGCCGAAATAACGGAGACGGACACAATGAGGATGGTTCGATACCCGCGCCGTCCGTCAGCCAATTGACGCATTCAATAAGACGCACTCCGCTGGTACCCGATCAAGGCACTCGATCACGGTAGATCGAGTCACACGTGGACTTCGCGTGCGAGCGTTCATCAGAACCGAGGACGAGGACGCGCACCTGTAGACTCCGCGGACAGACTGAAGGATGCCCGGGGGGTCACTCGCCGAGAGTCGCGAGCTCTACCTTCGCCCATCGTCGAGCGGGCAGGGAGCAGCTCATTAAATATTTTCATCGTTCCACGTAAGCTCCAAGTTTCACCGTACAAATCGCACGTAGCCAGTTTCGCGGACGGAAGGGAAACCGAGGGGTAGAATGTCCTTCCGCTCGTCCGCGCTGCCGCCGAGGGTGCGGTACATGCAATTTCCGTTAAAAATGCACGATCCCGCAGGAAGAGACGCGGAGGTCGACGCACAGCCGGGCTTTTCTCTTTATTTCTTTTTCTCTCATTTTTTTGCCTATAGATCGTCGAAAGTTATGCGCAATGATCTCAAGAAAACGAAGAGGAGTTTCGAAGAGTCGCGCGCAAGATGGGAGGGAAAGTCGCCCGAGAATTCGTGGAAATCATGGGATATATTATGGTTTTTATCTTATGGTCGGAGGATCGTAGAAATTGCACACTTCGTAGTTCCGATGTTATTTCTGGGAATTATCTTACGACTAATTAAATTTCTTTACACCATCACGGAGAAGATATCACGCGCGAGTTACATTATATGTGTGTCGTCTACATAGTAATACACAACTAATGATCCACATGGTTACGCGATACGTACTTCGTGTCTATCAGTAGAAAGACAGCGAGACGAATATTCTTATTGCAATGTCCTCATTGCATCGCCAATAATACCGAGATGTACGAACCGGCGGAATTCATGATCTACAACAATTACAACACAGTTACAACTTTCAGCTACAATTGTAATTATATCGGGAGAAAAAAAATTGTTAATGTTACTAAAATTATAGTTATCTTGGAGGCAACTATATTTTTTGTTGATCTAATAGAAAAATAGTAGTAATACCATGCATATAAGGTTATCGTTCCTAACATTGTAGTAACGCAACAAAAATGACTATAAGTGACTATAGATCTTTCACTTTTCTATGCGATTATAGTTACAAACACCAAACATTTTTTCTCTTAGTGCACACACATACAACACAATTTTTCAGCTACAATTACAATACAATGTTACCCACTAACATATTATGACATATTATAATTACACACAATTCATGTAACATTAGAATCTGTTTATAATTGCAATATTATATTTATTAAAACAGGACTAATATAAAATAATATAATTTATTAAAGCAGAACTAATATTACATTTATTAAACGCCTTTAGAGATATTACTGCGGGAATACAACGTGCATTATTAATTTACGCAACCAAAGTATAACCAATAGAATTACGATAATACTTCAATATCAACGTGAAAAATATATTAGACGTGCAGACGTTAAAGACTTGTCTTATATACTGTGCGCGAAACACTTACATGTGCAAAGCGTTGCAACGAGAGATCCATCAACTTCCCAATGGTGAGCGTTAATTGTTTCTGCGATCTTAAAATAATAAGCAACAGAATGCGACTGTCCTTGGGTTTCATGTCGTACCAGGCGCAATCGTACGCAGCATATCCGATTGCTTTGCTCTGCAAGAGTAAAAATAACAATTACAGAATCGTTTAATATCGATTGCTGACCGTTCTCAGAAATTATCGTTAACCTTGTTAATCAGATATTCGCCAGCATAGCAAAACATGAACGCTTCTAGATTCGTCACGCTATAATATGAAAGCGATCTCGCGATTTTCTCCGTCGCGCCGGGATTATCGAGCGCCTGCAATAGCGAAGCGTATAATGACGGCTAACGTCATTGGTCGTCATAAACCAATGTTTTTATTGACATGTTTGGTGCGCAATAAAACAAAGGAAAGAAGCAATATTTGATACGAATGCAATTAGTCGTGCAAAGTAACAAATACGCTGTATTAAGCGCACACTAATTAAATTAAGTAGATTAGATATTTATTTCTATCTGTGTTACTTCACACACATATACGCACGTCCTTGCCTGTTTTACATGCTGTTACAATTAGCAGTTTTTTACTCACCGTTATGATTAAAAATCCTAATATGCAAATCATCATTACGTTTGATATAAATTGCAACAACGCGATGAATGTGTACAAATTTTCTATATTCTCCGTGAAATAGATGATTTTCTGATGTTTCTGAATAATCTTTTTCATCATGTCGGATCTGGGTTTGTTAGCGCTATCTACGGGCATTAGTTCCGCGAACCAGCAAAGCAGTATATCTATTTGACCACCTATGTGTAGGGTCTAAAAAGAAAGATCCCACCGCCTATGAAAATGGAGACTTATGTTCAAGCAGTCGACTCAAGAATAGTCTTATTTAATCTTTTAGCTACACCTGGATCTGAGTGTGAAACACTAACACTGTACGGACATTCAGCCATTAAACATAAACACTTAATAAACATTAGTAACCTGAACAGCATCTATTTCACTATATTGTAGTGAAGATACAGTGAATTATAGATGATAGAACGACGTGTCCACCAAAAATAATTATTATGAATACAAGTCTATTTCTTCGAGGTATTGCCAAATAATGATAACCTTACCAATCTCATCTTTATATATTGCTTGAACGCTATTAAAAGAAGCTAAAAAGCGCTTTATAGCAAAGGGATAATATATTTTACCTCAGAATGCATGATGGAAAGCAAAGCCATGTAGTAACGCATTGTCCTAAATAATTACTTAGAGTAGAGAAGCCAGATTATACAGATACAAGGATTTAATGTTCTCACACGTCGTGCCCAAATTCACGAATTTAAGTAAAAATTACATCCACTTCCAGCAGAATTTTTAATCGTGTCTTTTTTTATTAATTACATATACAACTTACCATTGTTAAAAGCATGACGTTTATAACACCCATTCCCCAGCTGCTCATTATCAGTTGAATCAATTCCATAATTAGCATTAATTTATACATAACTTGTGAGGTTATACAAAATGGAATTTCTATTCTGTATATGTGAGGTATCTCGATCGTAGGATCGGCAATATCGACGTCGGTTAGGATGACGCCTACGCCGTAAAAGAGCACAGCGGCTGTGTGTAGAGTGATGATCGCGTTGGCAATGTAATCAGATATCTTTGCCTTCCTAACTGCTTTGCACATTTCGATATCATTGTTTGCACAATCTTTCCAATCTTCCGCCATTAATTTTAAAATTTGATTGAATATTCTAAAGATAACCGTTTATGTAAGACAACATGAGAATTTAGCATCTCATCTATCTTTCGCGCGTCGTTAAATTAGGATTTCTCTTTTTCGTATTTCTCTTAATTTTCTAAAGTTCAACAACAACGTTAACAACAAGAAGCGCGTTGCAAACGGTAAATAATAAACGCGTAATTTTATTTGCTCGGGTGATATTAGATACTTTTGGGATGGTTTTAAAGTTTTCTCTCGTATGTAAATACTGAACCCATTAACATGAATTTGACATATTAATACGAATAAAAGATTTTTTAACTAAAAGTAAGGATGTGTGTTTGATGGGAAGAGACATCTAAATCAATATGACATGTTCTAACCGTGCCACTCATGTTTCAACAAAGTAAAATAATGAGGAAATTATTGACTGAGTCAGTTACTCACCGCTCATTCCACCAAAAGATAGCAATCTTGACGGTGAACTTTACGTAACCTACTAAAGTGCTAAAACAATCCATTAAGTCGGATATATCATTGGAATAAAGATGTATAAGAAGGTATCGATATAGGCAAACTTCGATAATCACTAAGGAGATGCCCCAGAATACTCTGCAGAACGTCATACACGATACATCCGGCCAGATGCCGAACAAAATGAGCAAGTATCTGACCATGCGATTGATCGTGCTCTTACGAGCCGTAACTTTGTTGTTTATCATTAGAACTCGAATTCGCGGGTGCACAGTGAGTACATTAAGATACACATAGATCGTAGAGTAGAATACTTCAGGCAAAATACGAACAGAATCGTGTTCTTGTTAAGGGAAACCGAAGGGGGCTTGATGTGTGTCATCGAATAGCCGCGCGAAGACTGAGGTCATCAATCGACAGTATCCCAGAACGTACGACCAGTGGGAGCTGCTCATTAAATATTTTTACCGTGCCGCGTGCAACGTAGGCGTAGTTCGCCGATTTTGTGAACGGAAGGAAAAACCAGAGGATGTCCAAAGAGAAAACCAAGAGGATGTCTTTCCGTTTGAAGTGCTTTAGGGTACGGTGCGTGCAATTTCCATTAAAAATGTACAACCCCGCGCGAAGAACCGCACAGCCGACGCACAACCGGAATATTCTCTCTATTTCTTTTTCTTCCTTTTTTTGCTTATAGACGATCGAATGTCATGCGCTGTGATCTCAAGAAAACGAAGAGGAGTTTCGGAATGGCGCGCGCAAGATAGAAGGGAAAGTCGCTTGAGGAATCGTGAAAATCGTAGGATATATTATTGTACATTCTTGGCTTATGATCGGAGTCGTGGCAACGACTCTTACTTCCGATATTATTTCGAGGAATTGTTCTACGACTAATTAAATTTCTTAACTCTATTCCGGAAAAGTTATCACTTGCGAATTATATTATATGTGTGTCGGTTACATCCTGATATCACTGTTGATTTACACATTTATTCGATATATGCTCCACGACAGCCAGTAGAAAAACAGCGATACTCTATTGCAATACTTTTCTTTGCATCGCTAATAATACTGAGATGTATGAACCGGCGGAATTCATGATCTATAACAATTACAACAGATACAATTTTCAGTTAATGAAATTACATTTACAATACAATGCTGCTACAACAAAATATAATTACAATCATAACACATTACAATTTCTACAAAATATAATTATTGAAAAATTAGAATTTTACACATATTTGCTTATAATTGTAATATTATTTATTAAAGCAAAATTATTGCATTCAAAGATAATATTGCAAGGATACAATATACACAGTTAGATTATTTAACAAAAGTAGAGAACGAGAGACAGAAAGAGTGTTACGCGAATTCTTCCATCAACGCGACAAATATATCACAACGAATACGCAACTTGCAACTGTTTCTTCACTATATGTGAGTGACACTTACATACGCAAAGCGTTGCAACGAGAGATCCATCAACTTTCCAATGGTGAGCGTTAATTGCTTCTGCGCTCTTAATATAATAAACAACAGAATTCGACTGTGCTTGGGTTCCATGTCATACCAGGCGCAATCGTACGCAGCGTGTCCGATCGCTTTGCTCTGCGAGAGTAAAAATGACGAAGGAATGTTTACAGAATCCTCTGATATCGGTTGCCGACTGTTCTCAGCAATTATCTCTAACCTTGTTAATCAGATATTCCCCGGCATAGCAGAACATGAACGCTTCCAGATTCGTTACGCTGTAAAGTGAAAGCGATCTCACGATCTTCTCCATCGCGTCAGGATTATCGAAAGCCTGGGAATAGCGAAGCGTATAAGAACAGTTAACTTTATTGATCGTCATAAACATATGTCTCTGTTGCAATAAAACACAAGCAGAGAAAGCGATAATTGAACGTAATAGTGTACACAGCGAACAAACACGTGATTTAGTGCGTAGTAATTAAATTTTATAGATTAAATATTTATTTCTGTGTTACTACGCTTACATGCACATGCATACATGCACCCACATTTCTATTTTATTTTCCGTTATAGCTAACAGTTATATTCACCGTTATAATTAAATATCCTAATACGCAGATCATCATAACGTTTGTTACGAATTGCATCAACGCGATGAATGTGTATAGATGCTCAATATTCTCGGTGAAATAAATGATTTTCTGATGTTTTCGAATAATCTTTTCCATCATGTGCGATTTGTGTTTGTCAGCGCTATTTACGGGTACTAGTTCCAACCAATAGAGCAGTATATCTATTTGACCACCTATGTGTAGGGTCTAAAAAGAAAGATCCCACCGCCTATGAAAATGAAGACTCGTGTTCACAAGCGGTTGTCTCAAAATTAGTTTTATTTAATCTTTTCGCTATACGGCTAATCTGTACGTCCACGCATCCGTACAACGTTGTTCTGAACCATTATTTAATGAGTAACCACTATAGTGAAAATTAGTAGCGAAAAGATTGTGTCGAATAAAAAAAGCCTTCAGAAACGAAATCTCTAATTGGACAGATGGAGGGATTAAATGTCCTCACGCATCGTGCCAAAATTTTCAGAGAGTTCCTCGAAGTACATTGTATCCATTGCATTTGGTGAAATTTTCATTCATGTCTTTTTATGCTAATCGCACATGTAACTTACCAACGTTAAAAGCAAAGAGTTTATAACACCCATTCCGCAGCTGCTCAATATCACTTGTATCAATTCAATAATTAGCGTTAATTTATACATGACTTGTGAGGTTATATTAAACGGAAATTCCATTTTGAACACGTGAGGTATCTCGATCGTAGGATCGGTAATATCGACCTCGGTTAGGATGATGTCCATGCCGTAAAAAATCACAGAGACTATGTGCAGAGTGATAATCGCGTTGGCAATATAATCAGATATTTTTGCCTTGCTAGCTGCTTTGCACATTTCGATATCATTGTTCGCACAATTCTTCCAATCTTCTGCCATTATTTTCAACATTTGATTGAATATTCTAGAGATGATCATTTATGTAATTCACTACGTGAATTTAGCGTCTCACCCGTTTTTTCGCGCGTCGTCCAATTAGGATTTCTTTTTTCTATGTTTCTCTTATTTTCTCAAGTTCAACAACAACATTAATAAGAGGAAGCGTTTTGCAATGGTAAATACACGGAAAAAAAGATTTGGTTGAGTTAACCAAATATCTGGTCGAATATAAACAATCCAGAAATTCCGATTGAAGTAACTCCAATTCTGTTTAAGTTAACAAGATTTTTGGTTGACTAACCAAAACTACTATTTCAATCGGAATTTCTGAATCATTCATATTCGACCAGATATTTGGTTAATTCAATCAAATCTCTTTTTTCTGTGTAAGAAATGCGTAATTTGATTTTGGGCGAGTATTAGATATTTTTTAGTTGATTCTAAAGTTTTCTCTCATAAATACTGAATACGTTAACATACATCTAATAACATGTTAATATGGATAAAGCATTTTTCGACTAGGAGTGGGAATATGTGTTCGACGGGAGAGAAGACTTAATAAATCAACCTTACATGTCCTAAATGTACCATTTACGTATAAAGTAAAAAAATTAAGAAATCATTGTTTGAGTCAGTTACTCACCGCTCATTCCACCAAAAGACAATAAACTTGAAGGTGAGTTTTATGTAACCTACAAAAGTGCTAAAACAATCCATTAGGTCGGATAAATCATTAGAATAAAGATGTGTAAGAAGGTATCGGTATTGGCAAACTACAACAATCGCGAATGAGATGCCCCAGAATATTCTGCAGAACATCATACACGATACATCCGGCCAGATGCCGAACAAAATGAGCAAGTATCTGACCATGCGATTGATCGTGCTCTTACGAGCCGTAACTTTGTTGTTTCTCATTAGAACTCGAACTCGCGGGTGCATAGTGAGTACATCAAGATACACATAGATTGTAGAGTAGAATACTTCAGGCAAAATACGAACAGAATCGTGTTCTTGTCAAGGGAAACCGAAGGGGGCTTGATGTGTGTCATCGAATAGCCGCGCGAAGACTGAGGTCATCAATCGACAGTACGTACGACCAGTGAGAGCTACTCATTAAATATTTTTACCGTGCCACGTGCAACGTAGGCGTAGTTCGTCGATTTTGTGAACGGAAGGGAAAACCAGAGGATGTCCAAGGAGGAAACCAAGAGGATGTCTTTCCGTTTGAAGTGCTTTAGGGTACGGTGCGTGCAATTTCCATTAAAAATGTACAACCCCGCGCGAAGAACCACACAGCCGACGCATTACCGGAATATTCTCTCTATTTCTTCTTTTTTCCTTTTTTTCTTATAGACAATCGAATGTCATGCGCTGTGATCTTAAGAAAACGAAGAGGAGTTTTGGAATGGCGTGCGCAAGATGGAAGGGAAAGTCGCTTGAGGAATCGTAGGATATATTATTGTACATTCTTAGCTTATGATCGGTGTCGTGGCAACGACTCTTATTTTCGATATTATTTCTAGGAATTGTTCTACGACTAATTAAATTTCTTAATTCTATTCCGGAAAAGTTATCACTTGCGAATTATACTATATGTGTGTCGGTTACATCCTGATATCACTGTTGATTTACACATTTATTCGATATATGCTCCACGACAGCCGGTAAAAAAACGGCGATGCTCTATTGACTTACTTTTTTTGCATCGCTAATAATACTGAGATATATGAACCGGCGGAATTCATAATCTATAACAATTACAACAGATACAATTTTCAGTTAATGAAATTACAATTACAATACAATGCTATAACAGAATATAATTACAATCATAACACATTACAATTGCTACAAAATATAATTATTGAAAAATTAGAATTTTACACACATTTACTTATAATTGTAATATTATTTATTAAAGCAAAATTAATGCATTCAAAGATATTATTGCAAGGATACAACATGCACAGTTAGATTGTTTAACAAAAGTAGAGAACGAGAGACAGAAAGAGTGTTACGTGAATTCTTCCATCAGTGCGACAAGTATCACAACGAATGCGTTACGCACAACTATTTCCGCACAATGTGTGAGTGACACTTACATACGCAAAGCGTTGCAACGAGAGATCCATCAACTTCCCAATGGTGAGCGTAAATTGCTTCTGCGCTCTTAATATAATAAACAACAGAATTCGACTGTGCTTGGGTTCCATGTCATACCAGGCGCAGTCGTACACAGCGTGTCCGATCGCTTTGCTCTGCGAGAGTAAAAATGACGAAGGAATGTTTACAGAATCCTCTGATATCGGTTGCTGACTGTTCTCAGCAATTACTTCTAACCTTGTTAATCAGATATTCCCCGGCATAGCAGAACATGAACGCTTCCAGATTCGTTACGCTGTAAAATGAAAGCGATCTCACGATCTTGTCCATCGCATCGGGATTATCGAACGCCTGCAATAGCGAAGCGTATAAGAACAGTTAACTTTATTGATCGTCATAAACGTATGTCTCTGTTGACATATTTGTGATGCAATATAACACAAACAGAGAAAGCGATAATTGAACGTAATAGTTGTACACAGCGAACAAACACGTAATTTAGTGCGTAGTAATTAAATTTTATAGATTAAATATTTATTTTTGTGTTACTACGCTCACATGCACATGCACACATGCACCCACATTTCTATTTTATTTTCTGTTATAGCTCACAGTTATATTCACCGTTATAATTAAATATCCTAATACGCAGATCATCATAACGTTTGTTACGAATTGCATCAACGCGATGAATGTATATAGATACTCGATATTCTCGGTGAAATAAATTATTTTCTGATGTTTTCGAATAATCTTTTCCATCATGTGCGATCTGTATTTGTCAGCGCTATTTACGGATACTAGTTCCAACCAATAGAGCAGTATATCTATTTGATCACCTACGTGTAGGGTCTAAAAAGAAAGATCCCACCGCCTATGAAAATGAAGACTCGTGTTCACAAGCGTTTGTCTAAAAATTAGTTTTAATTAGTCTTTTCGCTTTATGGCTAATCTGTACGTCCACGCATCCGTACAACGTTGTTCTGAACCATTATTCAGTGAGTAACCACTATAGTGAAAATTAGTAGCGAAAAGATTGTGTCGAATAAAAAAAGCCTTCAGAAACGAAATCTCTAATTGGACAGATGGAGGGATTAAATGTCCTCACGCATCGTGCCAAAATTTTCAGAGAGTTCCTCGAAGTATAATACATTGTATCCATTGCATTTCGTGAAATTTTCAATCGTGTCTTTTATGCTAATCGCACATGCAACTTACCAACGTTAAAAGCAAAGAGTTTATAACACCCATTCCCCAGCTGCTCATTATCAGATGAATCAATTCCATAATTAGCAGTAATTTATACATGACTTGTGAAGTTATATCAAACGGAATTTCCATGCTGTATATATGAGGTATCTCGATTGTACTATCGGCAATATCGACGTCGGTTAGGATGATGACTATGTCGTAAAAGAGCACAGCGACTGTGTGTAGAGTGATGATGGCGTTGGCAATATAATCAGATATTTTTGCCTTGCTAGCTGTTTTGCACATTTCGATATCACTGTTCGCACAATCCTTCCAATCTTCCGCCATTATTTTCAACATTTGATTGAATACTCTAGAGATGATCGTTTATGTAATTCACTACGTGAATTTAGCGTCTCACACGTTTTTTCGCGCGTCGTCCAATTAGGATTTCTCTTTTCTATGTTTCTCTTATTTTCTCAAGTTCAACAACAACTTTAATAAGAGGAAGCGTATTGCAATGGTAAATACACGGAAAAAAAGGTTTGGTTGAATTAACCAAATACCTGGTCGATTAAACAATCCAGAAATTCCGATTGAAGTAACCTCAATTCTGTTTAAGTTAACAAGATTTTTGGTTGACTAACCTAAACTACTACTTTAATCGGAATTTCTGAATCATTCATATTCGACCAGATATTTGGTTAATTCAATCAAATCTTTTTTTTCCGTGTAAGAAATGCGTAATTTGATTTTGGGCGAGTATTAGATATTTTTTAGTTGATTCTAAAGTTTTCTCTCATAAATACTGAATACGTTAACATACATCTAATAACATGTTAATATGGATAAAGCATTTTTCGACTAGGAGTGGGAACATTTGTTCGACGGGAGAGAAGACTTAATAAATCATCTTTACAATGTCCTAAATGTACCATTTACGTATAAAGTAAAAAAAATTAAGAAATCATTGTTTGAGTCAGTTACTCACCGCTCATTCCACCAAAAGACAATAAACTTGAAGATGAGTTTTATGTAACCTACAAAAGCGCTAAAACAATCCATTAGGTCGGATAAATCATTGGAATCAAGATGTGTAAGAAGGTATTGGTAATGGCAAACTACAAGAATCGCGAGTGAGATGCTCCAGAATACTCTGCAGAACATCATACACGATACATCTGGCCAGATGCCGAACAAAATGAGCAAGTATCTGACTATGCGATTGATCGTGCTCTTACGAGCCATAATTTTGTTGTTTCTCATTGGAACTTGAACTTGCGGATGCGCAGTGAGTACATCAAGATACATATAAATCGTAGATTAGGATACCTCAGAGAAAATATAAATTGAACCGTGTTCTCACCGAGGGGAACCGAGGGCTTGATGTGTGTCATCGAATAACCGCGCGAAGACTGATCTTGAGAGGTCATCAAACGGCAGTATTCCAGGACGTACGACCAATGGGAGCTGCTCATTAAATATTTTTGCAGTGCCGCGTGCAACGTAGGCGTATTTCGCGTAGTCAATGATCGCCGATTTGCTGGGCGGAAGAAAAAACCGAGAAGATATTTTTTCATTCAAAGCGCTTTAGGGTACGATACATGCAATTTTCGTTAAAAATGTACGACTTCGCCAGAAGAGATACGGACGTCGACGCGCAGCTGGGATTTTCTCTCTATTTTTTTTTTCTTTCTTTTTTCGCCTATAGACCTTAAAAGTCATGTTCTATGATCTTAAGAACACGAAGAGGAAATTCGAAAAGGTCCGCGCGAGATGAAAGGGAAAGTCACCTGAGGATTTGTGAAAATTGTGAGGTATATTATTGTACACTTGTAGCTTATGATGAGCAACGGCTCTTACTTCGCAGTTCTGGTACGATTTCTAGTATATTCTATGATTAATTCTTTACCCTATCTCGTAAAAGATGTCACGTGCAAGTTACATTGTATGTGTATCATGTATATCCTGGTACCACTATTGATTTACATATTTATTTGATATGTGCTCCACGACAATCGGTCAATCAGAAGGACGGCGAGACGAATACTGTGTTGCAATGTTTCTCATTGCATTGCCAGTAATACCGAGATATATGAAACCGCAGAATTCATGATCTGTAACAATTTGCAACAGTTACCATTTTCAGCTACGAGCTTATAATTATAATACAATATTGTTAGTTCATTACAATAGATAAGTTACACTTACACTAGCAAAGCGTTGCAACGAAAGATCCATCAACTTCCCGATGGTGAGCGTTAATTGCTTCTGCGATCTTAAAATAATAAGCAACAGAATGCGACTGTGCTTGGGTTCCATGTCATACCAGGCGCAATCGTATGCAACGTATCCGATCGCTTTACTCTGCGAGAGTAAAAGTAACAAAGTGACCATTAGAGAATCTTCTTCTTGACCGTCCTCAGCAATTATCTCTAACTTTGTTAATCAGATATTCCCCGGCATAGCAGAACATGAACGATTCCAGATTCGTTACGCTATAATACGAAAGCGATCTCACGATTTTTTATATCGCATTCGGATTATCGAGCGCCTGAAATAGCGGAGCGTACAAAAACGATTAACTTTATTTAGTCGTACAGAGGGAACAAACACGCGATTAAGTACATAACAATGAAATGAAGCAGATTAATTATTTATTTTTATCTATGTTACTTCATATACATACACCCACGTAAATTCCTGTTTTACTTACTCTTATAGTTAACAGTTTTACTCACTGTTATGATTAAAAATCCTAATAAGCAAATCATAACCACGTTTGTTATGAATTGCATCAATGCGACGAATGTATATAGATTTTCGATTTTCTCCGTGAAACAGATGATTTTCTGATGTTTCTCAATAATTTTTCTCATCATGTTGGATAGTTGTTTTTTAGTGCTATTTACGGACCTAGTTCTGCCAACCAATAGAGCAGTATATCTATTTGACCACCTGTGTGTAAGGTCTAAAAAGAAAGATCCCACTTCCTATGAAAATGAAGACTCATGTTCAAGCAATTGACTGAAGAATAGTCTCATTTAATCTTTCCGCTACGATTAATCTGGACTCCATCGCTGCGCAGATACTCAATCACTGAATGCGCATAATAAATATTAGTATGAAATGAGTGGCATTTCTATTTTGCTATACTATGTAATGTATCGTAATTACGTTAATATATAGAGTGATTATTAATAAATTTATAGAATTTACATACACATGCACATATGTATGTGTATATATATATATATATATATATATATATATATATATATATATATATATATAATTAATGATAAAGAAATGTAACAATAGTTTTTTTAGATACAATTATACATGACAGCTTTAGGTTTAGAAAAAATGATTGTTATGAATACAGATCCATTTCCTGGATCAAAGAATAACAGCCTTCCAAATCTTATATTGCTCTTACATTACATTTGAATAGTTAAAAGAAATAAAAAAAATTAAAAGTTAAAAGTTATTAAAAGAAATTAAAAGTTGCTTCATAGCATACTATCTTTTGGCTCAGAATGCATGATAAAGGATAAGGATACTATAGTGTCGTGTCTTTCTAAACGACCACTTAGTGAGAAGCCACTATAATGGTATACATATAGTAGCGGAAAGATTAAAGGGTAAATTGAAAAGAATCTCCAGAAAGGAAATCTCTGATTGTACAGATGCAAGGATCAAATTTTCTTACGCATAGTGCTCAAATTCCCGAATTTTCGCAAAAAAACATTGCATCTGTTTTCAGTAGAATTGTATTTTTTTTTGTTAATTATACATACAACTTACCAATATCAAAAGCAAAGCGTTTATAATGCCGATTCCACAGCAGCTCATTATCAGTTGTATCATTTCCATGATTAATGTAAATTTATACGTGGTTTGTGTGGTTATATCAAACGGAATTTCCATTTTATATATGTGGGGTATCTCAATCGTGCGATTGGTAATGTCAACGTTGGTTAGGACGGCATCCATGCTGTAAAAGAGCACAGCGGTTGCGTTCAGAGTGATGATCGCGTTGACAATATAATCCGATATCTTTGCTTTGTTGGCTGCCTTGCGTATTTCGATACTATTGTCCGCACAATCCTTCCAATCCCTTGCCATCATTTTTAAAATTTGGTCGAATGTTCTAAAGATAACGATGTATGTAAATCACCACGTGAATTTATCGTCTCTTTTCTTTTTTGCGTTGTAAAATTACAGTTTCTCTTTTCCATATTTCTCTCAATTTTCTAATATTTAACAACAACGTTAACACGAGAAAACGTGTAGGAAATATTGCAACGTGAATGGCAAGTACGTATTTTATTTGTTCAAAGAATATGAGATACTTTTAGGTTGTTTCTAAAACTATTTCTCATAAATATTGAACAAGTGTTAATACGAATAAAGCATTTTTTAAATAGAAGTAACAATATATATTCGGCAGGGGAAGACTTCTAAACTAACTTAATAAGTTCCAAGCAAATCATGTTTGAATAAGGTAAAACATTGACAAATTATTGCTTAAATAACATACTTACCGCTCATTCCACCAAAAAATACTGATTTCGACGAATTTTATATATCCTATGAGGGCACTAAAACAATCCATTAAATTGAACAAGTCACTGGAATAAAAATATATGACGAGATATCGGTATTGGCAAACTTCGATGAACACTAATGAGATACCCCAGAGTACTCTGCACAACGTCATACACGATATGTCTGGCCAGATGCCGAGCAAAATGAACACGTATCTGACCTTGCGATTGATCGTACTCTTGCGAACCATAACTTTGTTGTTTCTCATTGGAACTCGCGCTCGCATATGCACAGTAAGTGCATTAAAATATATATACAAAATCAAACAGAAAACATGTAAATAGAACAGAATACTCTAAGAAAGATACGAACAGGACCGTATTCTCGCTAAGGAGGACCGATGAAGGCTCGATGCGTGTCATCGAATAGTCGCGCTAAGACTGGGTAGTCGTGACAGATCATCAAACGCCAATATCCCAGAACGTACAACCAATGGGAGCTGGTCATTAAATATTTTTAACGTACTGCGTGCAACGTAGGCGCAGTTGGCATGGTCGATGATCGCTGATTTCCGTTCGCTTTAGGGTACGGTGCATGCAATTTTCGTTAAAAATGCACGATCTCGCGAGAAACAGGCGCGCACAGGCCACATCAGTCTACGGTCTGTTGAGAGTCATGCGCAATGATTTGTAGGAAAAGGAAAAGAAATTGCGAAGGGTTGCGCTCGGGATGTAAGAGGAAGTCTTTGGAGAATCCGTGAAAATTGCGGACTATATGATGGCACGCTTTCAGCTTACGGTTCGGAGATCATAGATACACTTAGTCTACAGTTCGACGTAGTCCTGTAACTTATTCTTTGATTGATTAAGTCATACAATCTCGGAGAAATATGTTGTGTTACAATTATGCACTTCTCTAACTAGTGATTCGCACATCAGTCGTCGGCACATGATCTGCGAATAAAAATGACGAGATGCACTTGTGATGTTCACTTCATTGCCAACAATACCGACAAGTAGGATCCCGCGGAGTTCATGATCTACAATAATGTCGTTTGCATAAATGCTCGATATATTTATAATATTGTAATATAATATTGTAATATTATTGTGATGTATAGGATGAGACGTAGTTTTTGAAGATATCACCGAGGGGGTGTAACGTGCCGATTTAAGTAAAAGAAAATTTTAATCGATTAATAGAAACCAACTTTTTCATCACATCGCGCGGCAGTCTAAAATACCATACATATATACGGTTATTTTTTATTTGCCTTTTTTATATCATCTTATAAAACCCGAGCTTTTTTGCTAACATTAATTGGATACAAACGGCGCCTTTGACAGTTTAATTTTTAACACGCGGAAAAAAATCGAAGCGAAATATCGAGGAATCGTTGAAACCTTGAAAGCAATTAATTATTTATACGCTCACTTACGCTCGCGAAGCACTGCAGCGAGAGGTCGGTCAGCTTCCCCACTGTGAGCGTCAATTGCTTCTGCGATCTTAATATAACGAGCAACAGGATGCGACAGTGTTTTGGTTGCATGTCGTACCAAGCGGTATTATACACTGCATATCCGACTGCCTTGCTCTGCAAGGACAAAGATTAAAAGTAATGGCAATTTTTCGTGTTATTTTCGCGAAAAAACTTTGAATATTTTAATTAATCATTAACCAATTTGAAGTTTATGCCAAGTAGATTAAGAATATGAAGTCTCAATAATATTCTCAAAGTCGCTTGAAATAATTGGTTCAGAAGGTTACAATCTCATACGAGAATAATACGAGAATAATACTAGAATAATACGAGAACAATACGAGAATATGGAAATGTTATATATATGATCTACACGTCTCAAAAGCTTCAAGTCGATGTGTCATTTATTAGAGCATTCAAAGTTTTACAGAATCCTTTGGAAAAGGAGTGAAACTTGACCGCGCTTTTTTCTCATATCATTCTTGTCAATCATTTCGTTATGAGTTTATTCCTTGTCGCTAACCTTGTTAATTAGATATTCCCCGGCATAGCAAAACATAAACGCTTCCAGATTCGTCACGGAGTAGTACGCGAGTGATCTCACTATCTTGCCCACCGGGTCGGAACTATCGAGCGCCTGTAACATCGAAACGCGACGCGAGAAACGAACATACTTGATGTACGTGTACGATAAACCGCGAATATCTATCTTTATCGACGCTATTTTCTGTACGAGAATGCGAGAATAGAGACATTAATACGTGACACATAATACCAACATAATCAATCGAACGCAAATAAACACAAACAAATACCAAATGATACTAGAAATACGATTGACCGCGTATCAATTAAATATTTCACATTAATTATATACTTCTATCCTCATTATTGAACATTGACGCATTTCACTCACTGTTATGATCAGGAATCCTAATAAGCAAATCATAATCACGTTCGATGCGAATTGCACCAACGCGATGAACGAATATAGGCTCTCGATGTTTTCTGAAAAGTAAATAATTTTCTGATGCTTCCGAATGATTTTGTTCGTCATGCTGCTAACAGACTCGCGTTTGCTTCCGCTTCCATCGGCCACAAGCTCCTCCAACCAACACTTCAGTATGTCTATTTGGCCACCCACGTGTAAGGTCTAAAAAAGAACAGCCCACCGCCTATGAAAGTGGAGACTCATGTTCAGCCGGTGTAAGTTAAGGAATATCCAACTAAATTAAGAATATCCAAGGCGAACCGAACACTGATGTTGGAGAGAATATTTATTAATATTGCGAGGATAATAATGTTCCACAATGTTAACGCATGCATTGGATAAGTTTTTCAGTCTTTATAACGTACGCGGTGAATCAATCTTCCACGTCTGACCTTAACTAATTATCATATATTAATATAAATTAAACATTCCCGCTTATTATTGCATGATTACATATTACTTGGTTCCATTTTAAAATTACAAAAAAATACTATCTCAGCTAAGAGGAGCAACATCAACGTCCGACTCTTACTTGCCTTGAATATTCTTGAATATTTAGTTGTATATTTCGAGTAAGCCTGTTTATATAAAGTAGTGTGTAAGAAATATCCTTGGGAGTGACAAATTTGGTCCAGATCAATGTTTAATTATGTCCATTAATTATGTCATTTAACTACTTTAGTGGTAATTTGTAGAAAATGACTGCGCGGTTCTCTTCAAGACGTGGATTTTTTCTTTTCCTTTTTTTTAAATAAATGTATTTAGATTTTTCTTTGCTCTTTATAGCTACTTTTTTAAGGAATTTTGAGAATTAGAGTGTGGAATATATCTAATTTGTATTTGCTATGAGTTGGACAAAACACAATGGTTTAGGTTAAAAGGAATTTAACATTGCACCACGAAATCTTTCCGGACATACCACTTAAGGAGTTAAATATGTTTGACGAAGCGGCTATCGTGAACTCGTATACTTTCGGGTTCTTCGGGAGATTCGCGGATTTCATTTTCCCTGTTTCTTTTTCATAAATTTTCTTTATACACCGACACATCGTGTTCACGTCAATTGCTCGCACACTTACCAGGGTTAAGAGTAAAGCGTTTAGAATACTAATTGCCAAGGCGCACAAGATGACGTGCATCAGTTCGGTGATTAAGACGAATCTGTAGGTGTTCTGCGTGTGTATGTCGAATGGAAGTTTCAGTTTATTGATATGAAGTATCTCGGTTGTGGGATCAGTGACGTCGGCGTCGATCAGAATGATACCGATGCCGTAAAAGAGCACGGCGAATATGTGGAGGGTGATAGTCGCGTTGCTGATACGATCCGATATCTTTGCTTTGCTCGTCGCCTCGCGCATCTCGACGTCGCTGTTGATGCACTCGCCCCAGTCCTCCGCCATCATCTTTAAGACTTTGTCGAATGTTCTGCACAGAATCGCGTGTATGCGCTTCGCGTATTGCACTTTATCGTGTAAAGGTCGTAACAATTAAATTGATTAGTAAAACCTTTTTCCATAAACACTGAACAAACATTGATACGAACGCTTCGTTCCTCAAATAGAAGTGTGCTGACACATAAAACGTGTGTTCTACGGGAAGAGACTTTTGAATCAATCAAATATTTTGTGTGCACACTCAGTTTCTAGTGTGGTTTCGATCGAGTGAAGTTGCAACGCTTCAATTTGTCAGAATTAAAAACTACCGTTGACATGTACGCGCGGTAATTGTGGTTACAAAAAGATACTACAAAAAAAACTTCTTCGTGATAATGAAGAATAAAATTCTTTCTTAATTTGAAATAAATTCTTTCTTCCCCAAATATCATAAATGTCACTCTCTGTACTGTCACTTTGGCTCCTGTCATATCCCGATCACTGTGAATACACGTCGGCAGTGACTGTCAATTTTGAAGTGCCGCAACTTCATTCGATTAAAGGTGTGAAGGTCGTTTAACAGCTGAGTATACCTCACGTCGCGTCACTTACCGTTGATTCAACCAGAAGTAACCGAACTTGGTGTACAGCTTCACGTATCCTAGGAAGCTGCTGAAGCAATCCATCAAGTCGAACATATCGTTGGTATGGAAATGCGTTAAGAAGTACAGGTAGTGGCAAAACTGAGTAATCATTATTGTGATACTCCAAAATATTCTGCAGAACGTCATGCACGTCGTATCCGGCCAGATGCCGTACATAGTGAGCAGGAACTTCACCGTGCGATTAATCGTGCTTTTCCGAGTTGTCATCGTGGAGCTCTCTCTGAGCCCGCTCGTGCACGCAACCGGGATATATCAAAATGTATGTATATAGTAGAAAAAGTACGCTCTCGGGAAAGTCAAGAAGGTATGCTTTCTCGGTAAATGTAGCTGCTGGTGAAGGCTCGACGGTGTATGTATGTGTATATATCTCTCTGTGTGTGTGTGTGGGTGTATGTGTGTCTGTCTGTGTGCGTCACCGTGTATGCGCGCGAAGACTGGAAGGTCGTAAGATGTCATGAAATCAGGATGTGCCTCCGCACGAACGACCTATAGGTGCTGTTCATGAAATATTTTTATCGAGTGGTCAGTGCGTGTACATTGCCGTAGCTCCTCCACCGTTTAGTCCGAAGGAAGAAGCGCGTGTGATTATTTCTCCCTCCTTTGAGCGCAACGCGATCGCGAAATGTTAGCCTTAAATATGCAACGCGGACGTAGATATCGCGTGGCGATGTATGTCCGATGACAAATCGCGTGTCCGAGACGTCTTGGAAGAAAGTTTTGAAATCTAGCGGGTAGATGGACTTTGATGAAGGAACGGAGGGCTAACTCGTGCGATATTGCGAAAGCGCACATGCGCGATAGTTGAAAGTGTACTCGTGCCTGCGAAGGTAGTCAATGAGAGACTGACAAGTGCCAAACACCCGTTCTTGAACGTCGAAACGGTTGTTTATTTCGAAATTAAAATAGTAAATAATACAGTTACTATAGATAGATATTAAATGATATACTTGTAGAAAATGTGATTCAACACGATGTTAGTATTAGTGCTGTCAATATAATCATCGGGTAGTTTCTGTACATACAGAGAAAACAATTCTAGAAAATTTATTTGTGAGATAAAGTTTATTTCTATGTGTGGCATAAAGTTTATTTCTGTGCTTATATTTCTCAGTGTCGTATCTATTTGCCATCTGCTACTGTTTTCCATGCATGGAGACAGAAGTTTAGTTGCATTAACATAATGTTTCTGGTTGTGGTAATGAACGAACCAACGCGTTTTGGTTTAACAAAACGGAATTTTTTATTCTTAGGATTAAATTTGGGTTGTAAGGACAGAAATTATGTGTCCTTCAATTAAAACACGTTAGTTTCCGTTCCGCTGGAAACCCCGTTCTTTTATCAAAGCCGAACTTCATGTTAATATAACCAATTTTTTTTTCCGTGCAGTAAATAATTCCACATTAGCTAATTTTAAATCTTTCATTTTTTAAAAATATTATCGATACTAACTCGAATACTCGAGCATCTGATTAACTGGCATAGTAACTGGATATCGGAGTAGCCCGAAAAATATTCGACAGCTTCGAATATCTGGGTAGTATCAAAGTACCCGGAGATTTTTTCTTTTTTTAACACTTTTAGTCAGTGCATATGGGGAGAGATGTTTATTTGATCAAAGTTGATTTCCATGTCTACAATACACACTTTACCTAACTTTCACTGTGAGGATAACGTACCTCGGTTCGGTTCACTATTCAATATATTGTAAACTCATGTTATGCCATAAATAATACCTTATCCGAGAGAACACTTCTGGAATAAGAGACTGTGTTGCAATGTATGTTCTCTAACTGGTGATTTACGCGGTATTTGTTGCGTGCTTCACGAATACTGGCAAGAAATCGACGACGTTCATTGCATCGCCAACATCACCGATAAGTACGATCCAGAAGCGTTCATGATCTATAACAATATTGCTGTTTGTGTTAAAAATTATTATTTGTATGATCATAACGAAAAAGCGCGTGTTAGATGTTAGCGTCGCAGTTTAAGATCGATCTGTTGACTCTTTGCGATAGAAGCCAGGGATAAAAGCACTTTTATCTTGAAAGCGTTACGATCGCAAGAAAAGTCAATTCTACTACGGTCTGTTGTATTTTTTGAGAATTTTATTAGTTCTATTTCATTATATTAATCAATTGTATGTGCTCGATTTATCTGATCCAATTCATTCAATTCTGTTAATTCTGTGCGATATAACGAGGAATTTTTTATCATGACGTATGTGTATGATTACGAGTGCAGCATTATTTCGTGCGCTACGCGTATATTTCTTACGCTTGCGAAGTATTCTAAGGAGAGGTCCGTCATCTTTCCCACAGTGAGCGCTAATTGTTTCTGCGATCGCAATATTACAAACAGCAACAAACGGCTGTCTTCAGGCTTTAGGTTGTACCACGCGCAATTGTAAGCCGCAACTCCGACCGCTTTGCTCTGCGAAGGCGAAAATTACGAGGAGATTTTTATCGCAAGAATGCGCCTTATCCCTTTCACGGCATGACAAACACATTACGGTCTGTTATCGGTGTGATTTACGTAATTATCATAATTATCGTGCTAACCTTGTTCCTCAGATATTCCCCGGCAAAACAGAACATAAACGCCTCGAGATTCGTAATGGCGTAAAATAAAAGAGATCTCATTATCTGTTCTACCGCGTCGGGGGTGCCGATCGCCTGTAACATCAAGCCGGCAGGTGAAAGCTCATTAGCGTATTCGCGCAGTCGCGAGCGGTTGTCTCTGTCAATATATCTCGTTTGCGTCCGTGAAATGTATCACGATAAACGACGCCGATCCATCTTATCGTACTATTTGCGATATTCTAATTTCCGATTTTTTACTCACGCTCACGATGAGAAACGCCAGCGAGCAGATCATTATCGTGTTCGACGCGAATTGCAGCAGCGCGATGTGCGTGTACAGATTCTCGACGTTCTTCGATAAGTCGATGATCTTCTGATGCCTTTTAACGATCTTACCCGTCGTCACATCTGATTTTTCTTGTTTCTTCTCGTTTTCTTGCGATGCGTGGTCCCGCAACCAGCAACATACGATTTCCATTTGACCGCCTATGTGCAAGATCTAAAAATAAGAAACACACACACACACATATATATATATATATATATATATATATATATATATATATTTATTTATTTATATACTTGATCAGAATTCTGATAACTTTCTCTTCAATCAGGATCACAGTTGAAATTACCAGAATTCTATTCAAGTTAACAAGATTAAAGTAATCAATGTTAACAAGTCAGATCAAGCAAAAACCAAACAAGGTTTCTAGTTAATTAATTCTTCGTGGCATAGTGCTATACTCATATGGCACTTTTTTTTACTCGATTTTTCATAATTTTTATATATTTTTCAATAAGCCAATATGACTTTAATCACACATTTAAATTCCTAGTATATGAATTACTATATAACAACCATTAAAATTATGTTATTTGTTAGATAACAATATTTTATTTAATATATTAGGTAATAGAGTCAGGGGTTTTTGAGATCACAGAATTCGAATTGAAGGTAAAAAAGTGACTTGATTTATATATAACTTTATGTTAGAAAGTTTTTTGGATAGCTGATTACGAATATGTTGATAATTACAAAATTCAAAATTGCAGTCAAACATGAAATATAAACATATGGCAAATAGAAAATCTCTAAGAAATCTCGCTTTTAGCATTATCCAGAACTAACATTTTAGATTCTTTATTTTGAATTTTGAAAATTTTCAAAATCCGACTTTATATTTGTAATCAGCGATCCCAAAAACCCTTGAATACTTGATTTTCAGTGACTGGGATCATTTTTACATTTTCATATCGGGTCCGCTATTTTAAATTTTGAACATTTTCAAAATTTGACTCCATATTCGTAATCAGCGATCCCCAAAAATCCCTGTATACAGAGTTTCAAGAAACTCGTATGTAAGGAAAAATGTATGCTTCAAAGACATGCAGTTGTTCAACTTAGGCAGTTGCAAGTTCTGGTTAAACAGGAATCTTGTTTGATTAACCAGAATCTTGTCAATTTGATTAGAATTCTAATAACTTCAATCTGAAACCTGGTTCGTTCATATTTCATCAAATTAACCATTCGGTTAATCAATCAAATTTTTTTCCTTGTAATGAAATTTACTACGTTCCTTAATAAGATAGATCTTACTGATAACCTGCATCCTTGCACTATATTAAACATATAGTAAAAAGTCGAGAAAATTTATATGAAAGAAAATTGTAATATTCTCTTCCTGTACAAATACAATTGTGAGAAAAAGCTCAGAAATTGAAATTAGATCCGAGAGAGCTAAAATCAAAATCGAATCACAAGAAGTAAAATTAAAGTATGTCCGATGGCACGCTGAAAAGCTGTCACTTCGTACTAGCGTCTTACCAGAGTTAAGAGCAACGAGTTAACAGCACCGGCCGCCCAACTGCCCATTATGACATATACGAATTGCGCGGTCAGGATCGTTTTGTACGTCCGTTGCGTGTTCACGTTGAAAGGAATCTCCACTTTGTGCACGTAGAGCAGCTCAGAAGCGCGATCATTGATATCGACCTCGGCGAGGATAGCGCGGGTGCTGTACGCGATGGCGCTTAACGTGTGTAGAGTGATGATTGCGTTGGTGATGCGATCCGATAATTTCGCTTTGCATATCGTCTCACGCATGCCAAGTTCGTTGTTAGCATTATCCTCCCAGTCTTCCGCCACCATCGCCAGCGTCTCGACGAATTTTCTACGGATGATCGAACAGCGTCAGTAATCCCACCGATCGACGAGAAAACTCACCCTGGGTTCCGAGAAACGTCGAGAAGGCATTTGCAAGGTCGGCCATCACTCGAGCGGAATTTCAGATTTTCGACTTGCCTCCTTCTTAAGCGGATCTTTGAGATTTTTCTCGCTTCGCGGAAGCGCGCAGCAACGAGAGCTGTTGTGGCAAACGCATATGAACGTACACCTCGTATACTTATCAGACACAACTCAACCCCGTCGCGCGGTTTAATCAGTCAAAGTATATAAATAAACGAAACGAACAAGTCGTCGGATCGCTTTCGCCAGGGGAATCGTTCATTCGACGTCGCGTTCGCTAATCCCTCACGGCCATAAGATAATCATACGTTCGCTCGAGCTGAGATCTCACTACTTACCGCTGATTCAACCAAAATATAACGAGCTTGCTCATCACCTTGGCGTACGCCAGCAGACTACTTAGACAATCCATCAAATTGAAGAGATCATCGGAGTAAAAATGCGTTATAAGGTATCGGTAATGACAGTATTGCACGATTACTATCGTAACGAGCCAAAATGTTCTGCGCAGCAATACGCACGAGGTACCCGGCCAAATTCCGAACAGAATAAACATCAATTCTATCGTGCGATTAATCGTGCTCTTCCGAATCATGATATTCGCCTGTTTCTCATTCCCGTTCGTCTGAATGAGCGGGCGCATCGAATGAGTGCGCGTGAACGACAAACACTCTCGGAGAAGCGGAAAGACAACGGGATGTCTTTGCTGTTAATGCGGATCCCAATGTGTATCAGCGTAAGAAGTGAAACGTAGAGCACTCGTGCGAAGACTGCGCGCGACGCTGAAAAGTCATTATCCTGGTCGACTTTGCAGCGACTGTTGTCGACCAATGGGAGCCACTCATGAAATATTTTCATCGTGATGCGCGCAGACTGCGGCTATATATTCGCCGTGCGGTGAGTTCTGGCAATTTTAAGAAAAATAAGAGAGAACAGGTGGATTTGTCTGTGCCTTCCATCGACAAAACGGAATTGACGGATGGTGCAGTTACGAACTGTACTCTTGAAATATGCAACGATACGTGCGAGAACCCGTGTACATGATACGTGTGTACGATAGCGAGTAGTTTTTGTTGAGCTTTGGCGACCTCTTGAAATTTAGAGGGTGTAACAGACGTGGAGGGAGAAATAACAGAGAAGAGAGCCGTGCGGTATTGCGCAAAACTACGTGTTCCCCTTTGCGTTTGCGCGACTCTCGCTCCGCTCGACTTACATATGAGGGAAGATGCACGAGTTTCCTTTCCTTTTTTTCTTTGCTTTACGAGTCATGGAAAATCGGGATCTCATATGCGTATTAGTTCTCCAGTGAACGCTCTGGCCAGTCTCATGACAATTTGTAACGTTGCTCTGGACATTATTCCGTGAATCATTATTTTATATATACAAACTAAACATATTTTAGCAAAAATATCGGTTATTATGACGTGTGTGTCCATTAGTGAAGATATGTTTACATGTCCAGACGATACATGCTTCACGCCTACCGATCGAGAGTCACCAGTGAAACGCGATGTCCATTGCATCACGAACGTCAATAACAGGTGTGCTATCGATGCGTTCAGGTTCTATAACAACAAGACAACATGTTGCTAGTGCAAATTAAGATGTTTCGTGAATAAGAAGAGAAGAGGATTATATTTAACTGATTTTATTACGCGGCACAAGATAATTGCAAGTGCGTTGCAGATGCTGTTATAACAATTGTTTATATTTACGATATTATTTAATGTAAACCTGACACTTGCGAGAGACTCTAAAGTGCGATATATCATCAGTCGCGTTGAACTCGAATTTATGGTGACTTTGCCATTTGTAACACGCACCGAGAAAATATTCATGTGCTTCTTCGTGTTGGCTATGAAGCGCGGTATATATTTTGATGTGTTTCAGGAAGAACGACTCTTGGATGATTGTTTGTATTTTATCTATATTTTTTAAAACGTATGCCGTTTGCTATAAAATGTGCGATTTTATAATTAGTGATTTACTAGTAACTCGATGTTCTTCTACTACTACAGTTTATAAAAAAAAAAAATATCGGCCAGCCATTCTGATCTTTCATTGCATCGCCAACAGCACGGACAAGTACGATCCAGAAGCATTCATGATCTAAAAGACATTGTCTCTTAGTGGCAAGAAAACTCCCATAATTTGTAATAATATTATAGAAAAGCGTATTTTCCGCTGTGAAAATTTGATACGTGCTCCAGTTAAATGTGAATAAGAAACATCTGTGAAAATTAGTGGTTATTGGATTAGGAAGGACCAGGAAGTACATAGAATCATCACAGAAGCGTTAAATTTACGCTCGTAATGTTGCGCGTTGCAAAATATGCATATAAATCTTACACTTGCGAAGGATTGTAAGGAGAGTTCCGTCATCTTCCCAGCAGTGAGCGTTAATTGCTTCTGCGATCGCAGTATAATAAACAACAGAATACGACAGTCTGTGGGCTTTAATTTGTACCACTCGGTGTTGTACGCCGCGCTGCCGATCAGCTTGCTCTACGAAGATGGAAACGATGCTGTAGTTATCTGACGTTTAAAACGTCGAGTACTGTTGTTTGTTCGTCGTTGTTACTATTATTTTCTCACCGCTAACCTTATTGCTCAGGTATTCCCCGGCGAAACAAAATATAAACGCTTCGAGATTTGTTATAGTGTAGAACAAAATAGACCGCATTATCTGCTCTACTACGTTGGGGCTGCCAATCGCCTGCAGTTAGGCGCAAAAACAACGTGCGAAGTCATTTGATGCATTTTAGAACCACGCGCAAGTTACTATATCAGATATACTGCATGTGATAGAATGTGACGAAATGACGAGGAAAGAGAAATTATAATGAAATGAAATTTGCACACACACACACACACACACACTCATATTTAGAAATGTATTAAGATTTTATATAACCACGCTGTACATTGACACGTACAGAGAATCATAATAATTTTATACTTACACAGTCGTCTGCATGTCTACTTTCTATCCATGATATTCAACGATCTTACCTTTACGATAAGAAAGCCCAACGAACAAATCATTAATGTGTTTGACGCAAACTGCAGGAACGCGATTTGCGTGTAGAGATTGTTGATATTTTTTGAAAAGTTGATGATTTTCTGATGTTTCTGTATGATTTGGTTCAGTGTGACGTTGGTCGATTTGTGTTTATCTTCATTCGCGCGAGGTATGAGTTGCGTAAACCATTTGCGTAGAATCTCCATCTGACCCGCTGCGTGTAACGTCTGAAAGCGAAAATTTCGTATATAAAATTGATTGAATTTCATGTCTGACTCACGTTTACGTGAATAATATACGTGACATGTTTGAAATTGTAATATCAGCATTGTGTAGAGGCTGTTAATCCTATAATATCAGCCTTATGTTTGGATAAAGAAGAATGTTTTGCACAAGTAGTCGTTACATTTTCATAAAACTCTATCAACACATTGATAGAGAGATAACTGGCAGCTCACTTTTTCAGTGTCATCATTGCGGTCACATACGATTTACAGAAAAATTACCACATATGATATAAATTATATTATACAAATATTATTATAAGCGTATTAAACTTATAATTTGTAACTTGTAATATTGGATTTTATTTTATTTATAATATTTCACAAATTATTTGAGTTTTCAACTTTTTTATATATTATCAGAGCATTCTACAAGTTTTCTCAATGTCCGGATTCATCTAATCATTTATTTCCCTTATTATTTTTCCTTATATATTTTACCACTACATCGTTCTACGCAAAATTCAAAGTTTTACACAAAATAAATTTTCAAGAAATACTTTTTAATAGAATTATATCGGAGTATATAAAAATGAAATATATAAACTGTAGCAAAATATTTTTATTTGTGTTGATCTTATTTCAATATAAATATAACAAGCAGGTTGTGAAGAAGAATATATTTATAGAAGAAGAAACCTAATATTTACTTCCATTCCATTAAATGAAAAATTGGATCCGAATACTCAGCCACCCGTATAGTATAAAATGTTCGTGCGGCATAAACGGTAAAGAATGAACTTGTGGGCAATTAACGTACTTATTTTTATAATTTTCAGGTACATTACAAGATAATCCTGACGAGAGGTTCAGAAAATGTATAATTGACTCACCAGAGTCAACAGCAATGCGTTTGTGATGCCGGCAGCCAAGGCGCACATAATCACGAACAAGAATTCGACTATTAATATGGATCTATATATGAGTTGCGTGTTAACGTCGAAGGGAATATTTAACTTGTCGACAAAGGGCAGCTCCGTCGTGCGGTCTGTGACGTCGACGTCGTCCAAGATAACGCCGGCGCAATATGCGATGACCGACATCGTATGAAGCATGACTATGGAGTTGATAATACGATCCGATGTTTTCGCCTTGCACTCTACCTCGTGAGATTCCATATCACTTTTGGCGCACTCGTCCCAATCGTCCGACATCATCGTCAAGATTTCGATGAAATTTCTGTGGACGACCGTGATCGTCGATCATGCGATCGCGCAAACCCTAATTCTCGCGTTTCGGGAAGCTCTCGCGTTTTCCACGCAAATGACAGCCGCAAAAAAATTGATAATCACGCAAGTAGCTTTTGTATTTTTGTCCCGGGCTTTTTGGAGGCTTTCAAAATAATATCAGTTTTAGCGGAAACTCATTCCGCGATACGAATAACCAGGTATCATGCATGCCTTAACATTAACACCACAGTTATTATTTATTATAACTATCTTATAATTAAAGTCACTTTCAACTCTACACATAGTGTGCAGGTTGACAATCGTAGGTGATCCTAATGCCTAATGTACTTACGCTTGTAAGGATTTGTGCCATGACACTGAATGAGTTATGCCTTAATAATAACGACAATATGTAAGCGCTAAGGCATATATGACGTCTGGCGTACACTGTACTTACCGTTGTTTCAACCAAAACAGGATAAACTTAATTAATACTTTGCTATACGCCAGAAAGCTGCACAAGCAGTCCACCAGATCGAGAAGCTCGGCGGTGTATACGTGCGTCAGGAAGTAGCGGTAATGACAGTACTCGACAAACACTATTGAGACGATCCAAAATACCCTGCAGACCAGAACGTATGACATGCCCGGCCAAATACCGAACAGAATGAATGTATATTTTAACGTGCGATTAAGCGTACTCCTCCGCATAATGCTCGCCTCTCTCTCGTCCTGTTCGTTTTAATCGAGCGAGCGCATCGAAAGTGTACACGCGAACGATAAACACTCTCCGAGTAGCAGGGTGACGTCGCTAATGCGGATCCCAGTGTGTATCAGCTTTTGAAGTGAAACGTAGAGCACTCGCGCGAAGACTGCGCGCGACGCTGAAAAGTCATTATAGTGGTCGACATTGCAGCGACTGTTGTCGACCAATGGGAGCCACTCATGAAATATTTTCATCATGATGCGCGCAGACTGCGGATATATATTCGCCGTACGGTGAGTTCTGGCAATTTTAAGAAAAATAATAGAGAATAGGTAGATTTGTCTGTGTCTTCCATCGACAAGAGGGAATTGACGGATGGTGTGGTTACGAACTGTACTCTTGAAATATGCAACGATACGTGCGAGAACACGCGTACACCGTGTGTACGGTCGCGAGTAGTCTTTGTTGAGCTTTGGAGACCTTTTGAAATTTAGAGGGTGTAACACACGTAGGGGGAGAAATAACAGGGAAAAGAGCCGCGCGGTATTGCGCAAAATTACGAGTTCCCCTTTGCGTTTGCGCGACTCTTGCTCCGCTCGAATTACATATGAGGGAAGATGCACGAGTTTCCTTTCCTTTTTTTTCTTTGCTTTACGAGTCATAGATAATCGGGATATTATATGCGTGTTAGTTCTCCAGTGAACACTCCTGCCAGTTTTATGGCAATTTGCAACGTTCCTCTGGACATTATTCTGTGAATCATTATTTTATATATACAAATTAAACATATTTTTAGCATAAATGACGGTTATTATGACGTTTGTGTCCATTTAACTAGTGAAGATGTGTTTACATGTCCAGGCGACACATGCTTCACGCCTACCGATCGAGGGTCACCGGTGAAATGCGATGTCCATTGCATCACGAACGTCAATAATAGGTGTGCTATCGATGCGTTCAAGTTCCATAAGAACAAGACAACATGATGCTAGTGCAAATTAAGATGTTTCGTGAATAAGAAGGGAAGGGGATTATATCTAACTGATTTTATTACGCGGCACAAGGTCTAGATAATTGCAAGTGCGTTGCAGATGTTGTTATAACAATTGTTTATATTTACGATATTATTTAATGTGAACCTGACACTTGCGAGAGACTTTAAAGTGCGATATATCATCAGTCGCGTTGAACTCGAATTTATGGTGACTTTGCCATTTGTAACACGCACCGAGAAAATATTCATGTGCTTCTTCGTGTTGGCTATGAAGCGCGGTATATATTTTGATGTGTTTCAGGAAGAACGACTCTTGGATGATTGTATTTTATGTATATTTTTTAAAAAGTATGCCGTTTGCTATAAAATGTGCGATTTTATAATTAGTGATTTACTAGTAACTCGATGTTCTTCTACTACTACAGTTTATAAAAAAAAAAATATCGGCCAGCCATTCTGATCTTTCATTGCATCGCCAACAGCACGGACAAGTACGATCCAGAAGCATTCATGATCTAAAAGATATGGTCTCTTAGATATGGTGGCAAAAAAACTCCCATAATTTGTAATAATATTATAGAAAAGCGTGCTTTCCGCTGTGAAAATTTGATACGTGCCGCAATTAAATGTAAATAAGAAACATCTGTGAAAATAAGTGGTTATTGGATGAGGAAGGACCAGGAAGTACATAGAATCGGCTTAGAAGCGTTAAAGTTACGTGTTGCAAAGTATGTATATAAATCTTACACTTGCGAAGGATTTTAAGGAGAGTTCCGTCATCTTCCCAGCAGTGAGCGTTAATTGCTTCTGCGATCGCAGTATAATAAACAACAGAATACGACAGTCTGTGGGCTTTAATTTGTACCACTCGGTGTTGTACGCCGCGCTGCCGATCAGCTTGCTCTACGAAGATGGAAACGATGCTGTAGTTATCTGACGTTTAAAACGTCGAGTACTGTTGTTTGTTCGTCGTTGTTACTATTATTTTCTCACCGCTAACCTTATTGCTCAGGTATTCCCCGGCGAAACAAAATATAAACGCTTCGAGATTTGTTATAGTGTAGAACAAAATAGACCGCATTATCTGCTCTACTACGTTGGGGCTGCCAATCGCCTGCAGTTAGGCGCAAAAACAACGTGCGAAGTCATTTGATGCATTTTAGAACCACGCGCAAGTTACTATATCAGATATACTGCATGTGATAGAATGTGAAGAAATGACGAGGAAAGAGAAATAATAATAAAATGAAATTTGTACACACGCACACATATTTAGAAATATATTAAGATTTTATATAATCACACTGTACAAAGACATGTACAGAGGATGATACTAATTTTATACTTACACAGTCATCTGCATGTCTACTTTCTATCCATGATATTCAACGATCTTACCTTTACGATAAGAAAGCCCAACGAACAAATCATTATCGTGTTTGACGCAAACTGCAGGAACGCGATTTGCGTGTAGAGATTATTAATATTTTTCGAAAAGTTGATGATTTTCTGATGTTTCTGTATAATCTGGTTCAGGGTGACGTTGATCGATTCGTGTTTATCTTCATTCGTGTGAGATATAAGTTGCGTGAACCATTTGCGTAGAATCTCCATCTGACCGGCTACGTGTAACGTCTGAAATCGAAAATTTCGAACATAAAATTGATTGAACTTCATGTCTGATTCACGTTTGTGTGAATAATATATGTGATATGTTTGAATTTGTAATATCAGCATTGTGTAGAGGCTGTTAATCCTATAACATCAGCCTTTTGTTTGGATAAAGAAGAATGTTTTACAATGCACAAGTAGTCGTTACATATTCAAAACTTTATCAACACGTTGATCGCCAAGATAACTGGCAGCTTTCTTTCTCAGTAACATTTTTGCGGTCACATATGTTTCACAGAAAAATTACCATTTATGATATAAATTATATTATATAAATATTATTATAAGCACATTAAACTTATAATTTGTAACTTATATTTTTGGATTTTATTTTATTTATAATATATTTCAAATTATTTGAGTTCTCAAATTTTTCGTATATTATCAGAGCATTTCACAAGTTTTCTCAATGTCCAGATTTATCTAATTATTTATTTCCCTTATCATTCTTTTTTTTTATTATTCTTTTATTATTTATTATGTCATTCTACGCAAAGTTCAAAGTTTTACACAAAATAAATATTTGAATAAAAATTCAAGAAATATTTTTTAGTAGAGGTATATCGGAATATATAAAAATGAAATATAGAAACTGTAGCAAATTATTTTTATTTTCTGTGTTGATGTTACTTCAATCTAAATTTTATCAAGATTGTCAAGAAGAATATATTTATAGAAGAAGAGATCTAATATTTACTTTCATTCCATTAAAAAATATAAGTGGATCCGAATACTCAGCCACCTGTATAGTATAAAATGTTCGTGCGGCATAAACGGTGAGGAACTTATAGGCAATTAACGTGCTTATTTTTGTAATTTTCAGGTACATTACAAGATAATCCGGACGAGGGGTTCACAAAACGTGTAACTGACTCACCAGAGTCAACAGCAACGCGTTCGTGATGCCGGCTGCCAAGGTGCACATAATCACGAACAAGAATTCGACGATTAATATGGATCTATATATAAGTTGCGTGTTAACGTCGAAGGGAATATCTAACTTGATGACAAAGGGCAGCTCCGTCGTGCGGTCTGTGACGTCTGCGTCGTTCAGGATAACGCCGGCGCAATATGCGATGACCGATATCGTGTGAAGCATGACTATGGAGTTGATGATACGATCCGATGTTTTTGCCTTGCACTCTACCTCGCGAAATTCCATGTCACTTTTGGCGCACTCGTCCCAATCGTCCTCCATCATCGACAAGATTTCGATGAAATTTCTGTGGACGACCGTGATCGTCGATCATACGATCGCGCAAACCCTAATTCTCGCGCTTCGGGAAGCTCTCGCGTTTTCCGCGCAAATGACAGACGCAAAAAATTTATAATCACGCTTTTGTATTTTTGTCCCATGCTTTTTGAAGGCTTTCGAAATAATATCAGTTTTAGCAGAAACTCATGCTGCGATACGAATAACCAGATATCATGCATGCCTTAACATTAACACCAAAGTTATTATTTATTATAACTATCTTATAATTAAAGTCACTTTCAACTCTACACATAATGCGCAGGTTGACAATCGTAGGTGATCCTAGTAACTCGTACTTACGTCATATTACGCTTGTGAGGATTTGTGCCATGACACTGAATGAGTTATGCCTTAATAATAACGACAATATGTAAGCGCTAAGGCATATATGACGTCTGGCGTACACTGCACTTACCGTTGTTTCAACCAAAACAGGATAAACTTAAAGAATACTTTGCTACATGCCAGAAAGCTGCACAAGCAGTCCACCAGATCGAGAAGCTCGGCGGTGTATATGTGTGTCAGAAAGTAGCGATAATGACAGTACTCGACAAACACTATTGAGACGATCCAAAATACCCTGCAGACCAGAACGTACGACATATCCGGCCAAATTCCGAACAGAATAAACATATATTTCAACGTGCGATTAAGCGTGCTTCTTCGCATCATAGTGCTCGCCTCTCCTCCTATTCGTCTAACCGAGATATTGCATCGAATAAGTGGGCGTGAACGATAAACACTCTCGGAGAAGCGGAAAGACAACGGGATGTCTTTGCTGCTAATGCGGATCCCAATGTGTATCAGCGAAACGTGAAGTGAAAGAAGTGAAACGTAGAGCACCCGCGCGAAGACTACGCGCGGCGCGGACAAGTCATTATACTGGTCGACTTTGCAGCGACTGTTGTCGACCAATGGGAGCCACTCATAAAATATTTTCATCGTGATGCACGCAGACTGCGGATATATATTCGCCGTGCGGTGAGTTCTGGCAATTTTAAGAAAAATAAGAGAGAACAGGTGTATTTGTCTGTGCCTTCCATCGACAAGAGGTAATTGACGGGTGGTGTAGTTACGAACTGTACTCTTGAAATATGCAACGATACGTGCGAGAACCCGCGTATACGATACGTGTGTACGATAGCGAGTAGTTTTTGTTGAGCTTTGGCGACCTCTTGAAATTTAGAGGGTGTAACAGACGTGGAGGGAGAAATAACAGAGAAGAGAGCCGCGCGGATTGCGCAGAACTACGTGTTTCCTTTTGCGTTTGCGCGACTCTCGCTCCGCTCAAATTACATATAAGGGAAGATATGCGAGTTTCCTTTCTTTTTTTTTCTTTGTTTTACGAGTTATGGAAAATCAGGATATCATATGCGTGTTAATTCTCGAGTGAACGTCCCGGATTGCTTTGACGTGGTTTGCAACTTTGGCTTTGAAAATCTTACTTTAGCTGATTCGTTAAATTGGCTTGTGTCAAAATAAGCACTGATACGATGGGTATGTGTTTATGTAGCTACTGAAGATATATTTACATATCCATGCCTAGTATATGCGACTCACAACTGCCGATCGGGAGTCATCGGCGGAACGCATTATTCATTGTATCGGCAAGACCATTGAAAAATACGATTTGATGCTTGTAGTATCTCTAAAAGCAAGTTAATATGTTGCGAGTGCAAAGTAAAGTGTCGTAGAAGTAAGTAGAAAGTAGGGTTTCATTTGACGGATTATATCGTGCGACAGAAGGAGCCATTAATCGCGAATGCGAATGTTGCGTGGAACTTTTAAAAGAACTACTTTACATTTAATATATTTCTTTATGTGAAGCTTACACCTAAGATACTAAAGTGAGAAAGATACTAAAATGAGATTCATCATAATTTGTTTTACATTTGAATTTATGACTTTAAATTTATTGACTGAAGAATTATATGACTTTTTGTGTTGGTCAGAAGACTGACATGCGTTTTGATTTATTTTGGGAACAAGATTTTTCAAACAATTGTTTTTTATACGTCGACTATATTCTTGAAAAAAAATATGTCCTCTGTTATACAATGTGCGGCATTATAACTAGTGATTTACGTGTAACTCAGTGTTCCGTTACAGTTTATAAAAAAGATCGATCAGCCCAGTTTGACTGTTTATTGCATTGCCAACAGCACGGACAAGTACGATCCAGAAGCATTCATGATCTAAAAGAAATATGTCTCTGATAGAATTGTTTCTTAAGTTAGTGTCAAGAAAATTTGGGTGCTTCGTAATAATATCATAGAAAAGTGTGCTTCTTGCTATAAAAATTTTACATCCGCAGCAATTAGATGTAAAAGAGAAAAAATTGTAAAAATAAGTGTTTTTTGGAAGATGGGGAACGACTGTATGGAATCGGCTAGGAGCGTTGAACTGGCGCAAATATATGTGACTGTGTATATAAATCTTACACTCGCAAAGGTTTCTAAGGAGAGATCTGTCATCTTTCCAGCTGTGAGCGTCAATTGCCTCTGCGATCGCATTATAACAAAGAACAGAACACGACCGTCTTTAGGCTCCATGTTGTACCACGCGGTGTTGTACGCTGCGATACCGATCAGTTTGCTCTACGAAGATGGAAACAATGCTGTAGCTTACTGCCATGTAAAACATCGAGTATTGTTGCTTATTCGTCATTGTTACTATTATTCTCCTACCGCTAACCTTATTGCTCAGATATTCTCCGGCGAAGCAAAATATAAACGCTTCCAGATTTGTTATAGTATAAAACAAAAGAGACCGAACTATCTGTTCTACCGCGTTGGGGCTGCCAATCGCCTGCAATCAGGCGGAAAAACGACAGTCACACGATATCGAAGTCACTTGGTGTATTCGAGAACGCAAGTTTTTACATGAGACATACCGCGTGTAGACGAAGAAGGGAGAAGAAATGATTTTAGAAGTAATTTTATACTTACATATCATTCGCTTAAGTATCTATCTCTGATAGTCAACGATCTTACCGTTACGATAAGAAAGCCCAACGAACAAATCATTATCATGTTCGACCCGAACTGTAGGAACGCGACGTGCGTGTAGAGGCTCTCGATACTTTCCGAAAAGTAGATGATTTTCTGATGCTTCTTTATGATCTGGTTCAGCGTAACGTCGATCGATTTGTGCTTGTTCTCATTTGCGTGAGGCACAAGTTGTGTGAACCAGTTACGTAGAATGTCTATCTGGCCGGCGGCGTGTAACGTCTAAAATTGAAAATTTCCCATATGAAATTGATTGGACTTCACGATTGACTCACGTTTATGTGACTGATATAATATGCAAAATGTTGGATGTCGCAGTATCAACAATGTATACTTGTTGAGATTGTGAATTTCATAACATCGATATTGTTTGGATAAAAAGAAAGGTTTTGCAATACACACGTAATTGTTACATACTCCGACAAATCTATTAACATGTTGACTGCCAAGGTAATCACAGATAACAGACAACTTACTTTTTCAGTGGTATCATTGTGGTCACGTGTAATTCACAGATAATTGTGTGTCACCTGCGTAATATACAATTTTATTGTAATATAGATATATACCAAACTTGCTGGCAATCAACATATTAATTCTAATTTTCACTTTAGTTATAGGTGGTTCTGATGAGGAGTTTGTCTAATGTGTATTTGACTCACCAGACTCAATAGCAATGCGTTCGTCACGCCGGCTGCCCATCCGCACATAATCATATACAAGAATTCGATGATTAATACAGCTCTGTATACGAGTTGCGTGTTAACGTCGAATGGGATGTCTAACTTGTTGACATAGGGTAGCTCCGTCGTGTGGTCTGTGACGTCGACGTCGTCCAGGATAACGCCGGTGCAATACGCGATGATCGTCATCGTGTGAAGTACGACTATCGAGTTCATGATACGATCCGATGTTTTCGCCTTGCATTCCGCCTCGCGAAATTCCGTATCGCTCTTGGCGCACTCGTCCCAATCGTCCGACATCATCGACAAGATTTCGACGAAGTTTCTGTGGACGAGCGTGTCCGTCGATCATGCGATCGCGAGACCCTAATTTTCGCGTTTCGGAAATCACTCGTGTTTTCCACGCAAACGACAGCCCCAAGTAATTGACAACTATAAAGCTTGGAGCTCTAGGTATTTTGTGCCCCAGATGGAAGCTACTGAAGTAATGTCGTTATCAGCGGAAACTCATGCCGCGATACGAGCAACCAGGTGTCATGCATGCCTTAACATTAACATCACAAAGTTACAATTTATTGTACTATTTTATAATTCGGTCGCACCATTTTTAACTGCACACGTTAATGCGCAAGGCCGACGATCGTCGGAAGTTCTAATGAGTTGTACTTACGTCGTCCTGTGCTCGAGGGGACTTGTTCCAGAACACTGAATAAATTATGCTTTAATAATAACGACAATATGTAAGCGCTAAGGCATATATGACTTCTGGCGCACAACGTTATACTTACTGTTGATTCAGCCAAAACATGATAAACTTTATTAACACTTTGATATACGCCAAAAAGCTGCACAAACAGTCCATCAGATCGAGAAGCTCAGCGGTATATATGTGAGTCACAAAATAATGATAATGACAGTACCCGACGAACACTAATGAGACGACCCAAAATACCCTGCAGAGCAGAACGCCTGACATGCCTGGCCAAATACCGAACAGAATAAACATAAATTTCAACGTGCGATTAATCGTGTTCTTCCGGATCATAATGCTCGCCTCTCGACTGTTCGTCTAACCGAACGAGTGCATTGAACAGGTGCACGATACGAACGACAAACAGTCTCGGAGAAACGAAGAGACGAGGAGATGTCTCCGTCGTGAATCTGAATACCAATATTAATTAGCTTTTGAAGTGAATCATAGAGTACTCGCGTGAAGACTGCGAGCGGCGCTGAAAAGTCATCATCGTGGTCGAGTTTGCGTCGACCGTGCCGACCAATAGGAGCCGCTCATTAAATATTTTTCTCGTGATGCTCACCGCGGATATAGTCGCTGTGCAGTGAGTTCTGACAATTTTAATGAAAAGAACAGAGGGCGGGTGGGTTTGTCTGTCCCTTCCGCCGGCAAGAGGGGATTGGCGGACAGCGTGTTTGCGAATCGTTCGCTTGAAATATGCAACGATACATGCGACAACGCGCGGGCATTGTCTGTCTGATCTCTCGTCGAGCTCTCGCGACCTTTTGAAATTTAGAGAGTGTAACGCACGTGGGGGTAAAAATAACCGAAGAGAGTCACGCGCTCTTGCGATACTACGTGTCCCTCTCTGCGTATACGCGACTTTTGCTCCGCTCGGACTACGTATGAGGGAAGATCCGCGAGTTTCCTTTCCTTTTTTTCTTTGTTCTGCGATTCATGGAAAGACGGGATGCGATATCGTGCTCGTATTAGTTCTCGAGCAAACGCTTCGGGCGGTTTCGTGACAGTTTGCAACGTTGCTCTGGACATTATTCCGTGAATTATTATTGTATATATATATATATATATATATATATATATATATATATATATATATATGCAAACTGGAGATATGTATATTCACTGGATATATTTTAGGAAAAATAACTGCGACGTGTGTGTTTGTATAACTGAAGTTGTATTTACATATTGAGTCGATATATGTTTCACGACTACTGATCGAGATTAATGGGTGGGACGCAATGTTTATTCCATCGCCATTAACAAGTACGTTATCGATGCGCGCGGTACTATAAGAACGAATTTATATCTTGTGAGTGATAATTAAAATGTTCCACGAATAAACCGAGAACAGAAATTAACTAATTTTATCACGCGACGTAAATAATAAGAGGCCACTAATCTCGAGTGTGTTGCGCGGAGTTCTATTAAAACAATTGTTTTAAGTTTATTATATGGTTTAACGTAAACCTGATACTTGCAAAAGATTCTAAAGTATGATTCATTATTATTCGCGTTGAACCTATATTTACGGCGACTTTGTCGTCTCGTCATTCGCATCGAGACAGTATTCATGTGATTATTTGTGTTGGGTATGGAGAGCGAGACGCGTTTCAATGTGTTTCAGGAAGAACAACTTGGATGGTTGCGTCGTATTTTGTGTGTATTTTTGAAAAAGGGTATGTTTGTTATAAAATGTGCGATTCTATAACTAGTGATTTACTATTAACTCGGTGTTTCACTACTATAATTTATAAAAAAATGGTCATCCCAATCTCACTTTTCATTTCATCGCCAACAATACGGACAAGTACGTCCCAGAAGCATTCATTATCTAAAAGACATATTGTCTGTTAAATTAGTGACAACTCCTAATTTGGAATAGTATCATAGAAAAGAGTATTTTCATAGCTTCCCGCTATGAAAATTTCATTCGTGCCGCAATTAAATGTGAATAAGAAAGATTTGTGAAAATTAGTGCTTATTGGACTTAGAAAGGACTAGGAAGTATGAGGAATCGACTTGAAGCGCTAAGCGCATGTAAAGTTATCCATTGTGCATATAATAGTGCATATAAATCTTACGCTCGCGAAGGACTGTAAGGAGAGTTCTGTTATCTTCCCAGCTGTGAGCGTCAATTGTTTCTGCGATCGCAGTATAATAAACAACAGAATACGGCCGTCTTTGGGTTTTAAATCGTACCACTCGGTGTTATACGCCGCGATGCCGATCAGTTTACTCTATAAAGATGGAAACGATACCGTTGTTTTCTAACGCTTAAAACATCGAGTATTGTTGTTTGTTCGTCACTGTTACTATTATTCTCTTGCTGCTAACCTTGTTGCTCAGATATTCCCCGGCGAAACAAAATATAAATGCTTCGAGATTTGTTATAGTGTAGAACAAAAGAGATCGCATTATCTGCTCTACCGCATTGGGGCTGCCAATCGCCTGCAAATAGACGTAAAAACGACGCGCGCATCGATGCATTTTAGAACCACACGCAAATTTCGATATCAGTCATACTGCATGTGATAAAAAGATGAAGCGATGATGAGGAAAAAGAAATAATAAGAAAATGAAATTTGCACATGCACACACATACACATATACTCTTAGAACTATATTAAAATTTTGTAAAATCATACTCTACATAGGCATGTACGTAGATATTATATATAAATATGTGGAGCATTTTTAGACTTACATTCATTTACACAACTATTTTCTATTCATAATACCTAAAAACTCTTACCGTTACGATAAGGAAGCCCAACGAGCAAATCATTATCATGTTTGACGCGAACTGCAGGAAAGCGATTTGTGTGTAAAGATTCTCGATACTTTTCGAAAAGTTGATGATTTTCTGATGCTTTTTTATGATCTGGTTCAGTGTGACGATCGATTGGTATTTGTCCTCATTTGCGCGAGGTACAAGTTGTGTGAAACATTTACGTAGAATGTCCATCTGACCGGCGACGTGTAATGTCTGAAATTGAAAATTTTGTGTATGAAATTGAAATTTGATGTCTGACGTTCGTGAGGATAATATAATGTTAAGAAAATGTTGGGAATTATAATATCAGCAATGAATGTGTGAAAACAGTGGTTATAACATGGACACTGTTTAGACAAAGAAGAAGGTTTTGCAGACATAGTTGTTGCATACTCAAAAAACTCTATTAACACCTTGCGAAGATAATTATAGCTGACAGGCAACTTATTTTTTAATTATAGTTAACCGCATTCTATCGATTACATATGACTCACAGATAATTGTGCGTTACTTGAGTAATATATAATTTTGTTGTAATAATAGTGGCATACACTAAATCCGTAGTGTCCAATTATGCTCAATTTGAATTATTTTTAACCATTCCTATAAGTCGCCACTACTCCTACTAAATATATTGTTAATTTAACTAATGTAATGCAGTTAAATAATTTAACTTAAAAAATGTATTAAATTTGACTAAAATTTAGTTTATGTTTTATTATGTGTACGTTAATGTAACCTTTGTTTTAGTAAAAAATAACTTAATATTGTTTTAAATGGGTTGATTAGATGTGGTTGTTTTTTTAAACACATGTTTTGTGTTAAAATAGTAAATTTTGACACATATAATAGTTAAAAATAACTAAATATTATTTAACTCAAGAAATTGATTTAAATTTGACCCTCTAATATTTAACAATGTATACCAAACGTGCTGACAATCACCATATTAATTATAATTTTTACGTTAATTATAGATAGTCCTGACGCTCGCATAATGTGTATACGACTCACCAGACTCAATAGCAATGCGTTCGTCACGCCGGCTGCCCAGGCGCACATAATTACGAACAAGAATTCGACGATTAATATCGATCTGTATGTGAGTTGCGTGTTTACGTTGAAGGGGATGTCCAACTTGTCGACATAGGGCAGCTCCGTCGTGCGATCTGTGATGTCGACGTCGTTTAGGACAATGCCGCTGCAATACCCGATGATCGTCATCGTGTGAAGCATGACTATTGAGTTCATGATACGATCCGATGTTTTCGCCTTGCACTCCGCTTCGTGAAATCCGCTATCGCTCTTGGCGCACTCGTCCCAATCGTCCGACATCATCGACAAAATTTCGATGAAATTTCTGTGGACGACCGTATTTGTCGATCATGTGATCGCACATGATCGCGGGATTACACTAATTTTCGCACTTTGTGATCACTCATGTCTTTCGCGCAAATGACAGTCGTAAAAAATTGACAATCACGAAAGTATCTCTTGTATCAGTTCCAGGTGAAGGCTTTCGATATATGTTTCGTTCTTAGCGAAAACTCATGCCGCGATACGAATAACCAGGTATCATGCATGCCTTAACATTAATGTCAAAGTTATCATTTATTATAATTATCTTATAATTAAAGTCACTTTCAACTCTACACATAATGAATAGGTTGCAATTGTTGATGATTCTAATGACTCGTACTTACGTCCTCCTACGCTTGTGGAGATTTGTGCCAGAACATTGAATGAATTGTGCTTTAATAATAACGACAATGTATAAGCGCTAAGGCATATATGACGTCTGGCGTACGCTGCACTTACCGCTGTTTCAACCAAAACAGGATAAACTTAATTAACACTTTGCCATACGCCAAAAAGCTGCACAAGCAGTCCACCAGATCGAGAAGCTCGGCGGTGTATATGTGCGTCAGAAAGTAGTGGTAATGACAGTACTCGACAAGTCCTAATGAGACGACCCAAAATATTCTGCAGACCAGAACGCATGACATATCCGGCCAAATACCGAACAGAATAAACATATATTTCAACGTGCGATTAAGCGTGCTTCTTCGCATCATAGTGCTTGCCTCTCCTCCTATTCGTCTAACCGAGATATTGCATCGAATAAGTACGCGTGAACGATAAACACTCTCGGAGAAGCGGAAAGACAACGGGATGTCTTTGCTGCTAATGCGGATCCCAATGTGTATCAGCGTTAGAAGTGAAACGTAGAGCACCCGCGCGAAGACTACGCGCGACGCTGACAAGTCATTATCCTGGTCGACTTTGCAGCGACTGTTGTTGACCAATGGGAGCCACTCATGAAATATTTTCATCGTGATGCACGCAGTCTGCGGATATATATTCGCCGTGTGGTGAGTTCTGGCAATTTTAAGAAAAATAAGAGAGAACAGGTGGATTTGTCTGTGCCTTCCATAGACAAGAGGTAATTGACGGGTGGTGTAGTTACGAACTGTACTCTTGAAATATGCAACGATACGTGCGAGAACCCGCGTATACGATACGTGTGTACGATAGCGAGTAGTTTTTGTTGAGCTTTGGCGACCTCTTGAAATTTAGAGGGTGTAACAGACGTGGAGGGAGAAATAACAGAGAAGAGAGCCGCGCGGGTTGCGCAGAACTACGTGTTTCCCTTTGCGTTTGCGCGACTCTCGCTCCGCTCAAATTACATATAAGGGAAGATGTGCGAGTTTCTTTTCTTTTTTTTTCTTTGCTTTACGAGTTATGGAAAATCGGGATATCATATGCGTGTTAATTCTCGAGTGAACGTCCCGGACTGCTTTGACGTGGTTTGCAACTTTGGCTTTGAAAATCTTACTTTAGCTGATTCGTTAAATTGGCTTGTGTAAAAATAAGCACTGATACGATGGGTATGTGTCTATGTAGCTACTGAAGATATATTTACATATCCATGCCTAGTATATGCGACTCACGACTGCCGATCGGGAGTCATCGGCGGAACGCATTATTCATTGTATCGGCAAGACCATTGAAAAATAGGATTTGATGCTTGTAGAATCTCTAAAAGCAAGTTAATATGTTGCGAGTGCAAAGTAAAGTGTCGTAGAAGTAAGTAGAAAGTGGGGTTTTATTTGACGGATTATATCGTGCGACAGAACGAGCCATTAATTGCGAATGCGAATGTTGCGTGGAGCTTTTAAAAGAACTACTTTACATTTATTATATTGCTTTACGTGAAGCTTACACTTAAGATACTAAAGTGAGAAAGATACTAAAATGAGATTCATCATAATTCGTTTTGCATTTGAATTTATGATTTTGAATTTATTGACTGAAGAATTATATGACTTTTTGTGTTGATCAGAAGACCGACATGCGTTTTTTTTGGGAACAAGGTTTTTCAAACAATTGTTTTTTATACGTCGGCTATATTCTTGAAAAAAAAAAAATGTTCTCCGTTATACAATGTGCGGCATTATAACTAGTGATTTACGTGTAACTCAGTATTCCGTTACAGTTTATAAATAAGATCGATCAATCCAGTTTGACTTTTTATTCCATCGCCAACAGCACGGACATGTACGATCCAGAAGCATTCATGATCTAAAAGAAATATGTCTCTGATAGAATTGTTTCTTAAGTTAGTGTCAAGAAAATTTGGGTGCTTCGTGAGGGCTGCTCCGTAAGTTTTGCGACTTGGCAACACTGGCGTTGCTAGGTAAGATCTAACCTTACCATCAAAAAGTTTGACAGTTTGGAAGATTTTTTTACTGGAAACGTTTTGTCGTACGGAGGCTACTTGTATTTTTTACAGTGACTTGAAAATTGTGTCTCAGCGAAAAAATGGAATTAACACGAGAACACTTTCGTGCGATGATTTTATATGACTTTCGACGTGGATTATCGAGACCAGAGTGCATCGATCAACTTGCTTCCACTTTTGGCAATGAAGTACCTCACAAGGCCACTATTTGTCGCTGGTTTAATGACTTCAATCGTGGTCGTAGTTCGCTCACCGACGAACCTCGCGAAGGTCGTCCAAAATCAGCTGCTGTGCCAGAAAACATCGATGCTGTGCGTGAATTGATAATGCAAGATCGACATGTGACATACCGTGAGATTCAGGCATCCCTGGGTGTTGGTATGAATTGCATACAAACGATATTGCATGAACATTTGGCCGTAAAAAAAATTTGTTCACGTTGGATCCCGCATAATTTAACAACTGCTCAAAAAAAGGATCGTGTAAATTGATGCAAAAAAATGT